GAGACTTTATAAAAATAAAATGATTGCAAAAATATGTCAGTGGATTTTTTTCCCTTAATAAGCAAGGTAAAATATATTTGTAATTTTTATCACCTTGGTGCGTTATGATATTTGAGTAGAATTTAGCAAGAGCAGAAAATCTTGGCATTTCCATGAGCTTTTATTTCTATTATCTCCAATACTCTCAGATTTCAAAGAACAGTTTTGGTGCTAATTACCAGATTTTGACTTTTATAAAAACCCCACACCACATGTCCTGATTTTATACCCAGTTGCATGTGGAATCTGAAATGTGGTTTTATCAAAATAAACTCACACTTTGGTGTGTGGAATTTCACTTGTAAAGTAGAGATCATAATTTCAAAAACAAACACAATTTGCACTTGGTTTTGCTTGAAAAAATAAAACGCTTGGCTGTGATCAGATGAAAAATGTTTTACTCAAGTACCGGCTTTTCTCTGAAAAGCACCCATGGTTGGAGCCAAGTGGTCTTGAACAGCATCATCTTCCATGCAAGCACCTTGGCATCTCCTGATTTAACTGGTATGTTTTAGAAGATACTTTTTTTCTTAAAATTATTTTATTCTTTTTTAGAAGTCTGAATGTTTATTTTAACATTTCCTTCTTATTTGGGTCAAGAGCAGAGCTTGTAAGGACCAATTATGGGAAGCGAAGAAATTTCTTAAGTTACTAATTAAATCAATGAAAAGAATTAAATACACTGTTTTCTGATGCAGAAATATCCAGTTATGTCCCCCAGAGACAACTGATGTCACAGAAGACAGACCTGAATTTGAATTCTAGTCCTGCCAGCCAGTTTCTCTTTTACCTTGAGCAAGTCATATAATCTCTCAAATTCCAAGCTTCCTCATCTAGTAAACAGCAATAACAAACAGATTAATTTTGAAGATGGGATGAGAAATAAGACATGGAGAGCCCCTAGTTACATGCTGAGAACACAGCAGATACTCAGAGAAGCTGCTGGTGCTTGAGATGGCATTTCAAGTCCATGGTGGAAAAATAAAAATAAAATCTAATCAGAACACGTGAGTTACTTAGATTTTAAAGTTTTTTAATTTAAAAATTATTTAATTTGTATAATTTATTTATTTTTATTATTATTATTTTTTGAGACGGGGTTTCGCTCTTGTTACCCAGGCTGGAGTGCAATGGCACGATCTCGGCTCACCGCAACCTCCGCCTCCTGGGTTCAGGCAATTCTCTCGCCTCAGCCTCCTGAGTAGCTGGGATTACAGGCACACGCCACCATGCCCAGCTAATTTTTTGTATTTTTAGTAGAGATGGGGTTTCACCATGCTGACCAGGATGGTCTCGATCTCTTGACCTCGTGATCCACCTGCCTCGGCCTCCCAAAGTGCTGGGATTACAGGCTTGAGCCACCGTGCCCGGCCTGTATAATTTATTTTTTAAGATCCACTTCTCACTATATTGCTTAGGCTTGTCTCAATCCTGGCCTCAGGTGATCCCCCAACCTCAGCATCCAGAGTAGCTAGGATTAGAGGTGTGAGTCACTGTACTGGGTAGATTTTAAAGTTTTTATATGTAAAATTGAAAAAAACAGTTTGTGCCATCATGTTAGGTAGAGTTACCTATCATTAACTCTACCAGCAGTTTTTGATTTTGTTAAGCATTAAGGCTATTCCAAAAGCATTAGCCCTCATGCTCCAACAGGCTCATAGCACAGTAAGAGAAGAATGCAAGAAAAGTTCCTGGAAGAAAGGACCATGCATTTGAGACTTGTTTTATCATTTACAAAGCACACGAGACATCCCTGGGTGCCTCTGAGGAGAGTATAGAGAGGAGAAAAATGTAGAGTGTGGTTCTGTTGTCAGCACGGTTGGGTGGAGAGCCACCTCTGCTACTTATTGCTGTAAATCTTTCAGTAGGTCAATTAACCTCTTAAGGATGAATAGTAGCATTTATCTTGATAAGCTATTTTGAGAATCAAATGAAAAAAATCCATAAAAAGGCATAGCAAGGTCCCTGGCACATCATAAACATACCGGAGATGGATTAGCCCTTAACATGATTATTAGTCTGTCTTTCTTTAGGGAGTTTTTTTCTTAGAAGCATCTATCTACCTTTCTGGGATGAATACAAAATGGAATAGAATGTACAGTTTTGCTTTTAAAGTTCCTCTTTCTATCTAAGATTTTTATCATTTTACATTAGCATTGTTCTGAACAGCCAATGGCTATATAGAGACTACCTTTCATTTTGAGAGGAATTATTGGGTCCCAATTCATTGAATTATTTGACCATAATAATAAACCTCCAGTTTCTTTATTTCTTCAACTTGAAGATCATGTAGCAGTGTGTACATAAGTAGCCTTAGGTCTTTGGACTTCCTCATGAACAACCATTTTATGAGTCTGTTGTTAAACTCTTTATGAGATTCATCAACATGAGTAACACTGCTAGTCCTGTAAGAGTCTCTTACCCCATGAATGATTTATAACAAAGAGAACTACTTTATTAAAAGATTCTTGTGCTTCAGAGTCTCTTGTGAGCTCAAAGAGCTAAGAGTTGCCATTATTATATTAGAAGAAATACATGCTTATTCAAGAGAAATAAAAAATAAGCCATGGGAAGTTTATCAACTTGTATAGTCCCATGTTTTAAAAATATTCCCTTCCCTTTGTTTCTTTAATCATCTTCACCTGTTCATTTAACTAATACTTCCTGCTCGTTACAATGTTTTTGACCTTGCTAAAGAATAAGATTGGCAGAATCTCAGCCCTTAAAGAGTTGTTAATGATTCCCAAAGGGAGCTGCACATTAGCATCAGCATCAGTGGGGACTTGTTTTAAGAGAACCAATAGGTAACCATTATATCAGAGTCTTCAAGGTATGGGTAAAGACCCTGAGGCAGAAGGGGCCTACTACTTTGATGGATCTGAAAAGAAAGCCATTTGGATTGGGCTACAGTGATCAAGAGGTAGAGGGTAGGAGAAGGATGTATGAGAGAAGCAGGGCCTGACCTCGGGCCAACCTCCCCACTTTCAGAAACTGTTACTTAACTAACACTGGATTTAACAAAGCATTATTCAGATTATCAAGTGCAATCCTTTCAAATTTTATAATGAGTGGAATATTAAAAAGAGTTTTGAAGAACTCATGCTTAATTTCAAATGTACATTGCAATTTGAAATCTGCTAAATGTGGTCTTCTCATCAATTTTTCAAAAAAGGGAAAAGGAGTCCTCAAATGTCTATAGTAAAATTTTCTTAATCACTTGAACTACGGGTGCCCATTATTTCATGTCCCTTCCCTTGCAACATTTTCCTAGTAGAATATTTCATACATTCAAATGACATCAATTACTAACTCTAGGTTATGAATACACACTTCCCTTTTAGTTGGCTCTTTATATGTAATTTTCCAAATCCATTGGATCATTCATTATGCAGCCTCAATGTCCTCACCTAGTTACTACAATGGTGGGATAAAGAAGTAGAGTAACATGATAGTATTATAAGTGTGGAATTTGGGGAATTAATCAATATAATTTTTGTGTGTACATTTCTTAAATCTTATTTAAAATTACATCTGGGCCTTTAAGATCTCAGTTTATCCATCTTATTATTTGTCTTTTTATTGTCTAGTAGTCACAAATATCCTCAGTGTTTTTCTGTGTTGTCATTTTAAGCAGTTTAGTGATAAAAGTACAGAATAATTTTTTTCAAACTTTCATAGTTTTCATTTCCTTCCTAATTTAGTTATAAACTAGCTAAAAATAAAATCAAGAGTAAATAAATATGTAATGTTTCCTTTAATCCAATATCATTTAGACCATCTTACTATTTGAAGATGTGTGTTTTACTATCAATAATTTTTTACAGTAGTCAACAACTTAACATTTTTTGAGTACCTAGAAAATAATTACTTTTATTCTCATAAATCTCTTCAACTCATACTATTATTCCTTTTCACATGGTTGGAATATGATTAATATTTCACATTAATGTGATATTTAATAAATGACTTAGAAAAAGATTTTGATCAGAAAAACTGTACTTGATAATTTTATTCTTGCAGACCAAATGTATAATTTATAAATCTTCATTACACAAAATATTCAGGAAGATCAAGGCCTATTAATTCATGTAAAAATATTTAGCATTCTGGAATATATCTTTGAAACATCCAAAAAAATATATCTGGGTAAATTTATGAGTTTTGATGCTTTTAATCTGCAGTCATAATGTGGATCTGGCTTCATTTGATTGCATAATTAGAAGAATGGAAGGATGCATGAAAAGTCATCTAATGGTCTATTAGAACATTGCTTTGTTTAATTCATTAATATGTAATGAAATGTATATTATAAGAAACTACTGAAACATATTTTCTTGGCTAAAATTCAAAAATGTTTATATAATTGGAGAGTTATTTTTCCAGGAGAATAAAGTTTAATTGTAATCAGATGTTCATTCTGGAAGCATAAAGATAGTAATAATATTGTTGGAAATGATATTTTAATGTTTTTCTTATACTCAGCTTGATGTAGAACCATACCCATGTTCAGAATATATAGAGGGACTTGCTTTTTTGTGTCTTTTTAATCAAATTTCTTCCTGGGATCTGAGTGCCAGCTCTAGAAGCTGGAATGAAGTTCCGCAGAGAAGTCCAAGAAGTCATGGTAATACCTGCTTGCTATTTCTGAACTTTATTGTAAGGGCCACTGTGTCATTCAACTCCATTGAACTGTATTTGAGAAACACCCCCAGTTGTGCAATATACCAGCATAACTTTAAAGAACACTTGGCTTCTGTGACACACTCAAATTTGTGTGATTTTTCACATTACTAAAAGACTTCTTTATTTCCAAGTTTTGGTTATTTATTAATCAGTGTAATCTTCAATAGATTACATCAACATGATTTCATGCATTTAGAGGAGAACTATTTCCTGTTTAAGTAGAAAATTGTGCAGATGGCTTCTGGAAGAATTTCATTCTGAAGCAGCTTTAGAGTGAACTATTTCATGTAGAAAGATGGACCTTTTTTCTTCAGTTTTCTGGAATCCACATTCGCTAAGTAGAACTTGTATTGATCTTTGGGACCCAGTTTGTTCCAAGACTCTGGGTTATTCTTTCTGTTCCAACTAATATCTGGATTGAACAATTCCAGACTCAAGAGATACAGTGCTGCTCTAGTACCTCCAGCTCCAATAAATACATAGAGGGGTATCAAATGCGGATGCTTCTTGGCCTGACTGATGATCTGGCGGAGGATGTTTGTAGCAGAGGACTCTGATTGGGAAGGAGAGAACCAGCCCAGGGCTAAGCAATATCTGTACTCAAAAAGACTTGTTTTAATGTATTTTAAATGCTATATTATAGTCAGTGGCTATCAGGTAAATCTATGAGCCATATTTCCTCCACTTAAGTTTAAAGAATGAGATATACCTGATAATATAGAGACTGGTAAATTTTAGAAAAAAAATGGAAGAGAAAGTTAAGGGAACAGAATGTTCATGTTGGAAACTGAAGGAAGAATGAATTAACTTTCATCAATTTGATGTTCTTAAATCTCTTGATTTGGTCTGTATCCTTCCATACCTCCTTGCTGCCATACCACCTTAGTTTTTCTTATGTCTATTATTTCTGTAATTGTTCTCACAGCCTCCAGTCTTAACCAAATCTTACCTACTGCACTCTGCTTCCAGACTGATTTTTCAGGATAAAAATGCAAATACATTAGGGGTGCCTTCAGGTTCCTTTATGACCCAACTCTGTTACCTTTCCAGCTTAAATTGCTCCAGGCATTCTAGGATTCAAATATCCATATTTGGACTTTCTCTAACATTGATGCTCTTTTTTACCCTGAGTCCTTTGAAAACTCCTTACCATAATTAATATGACTAGAACCTTAGGACTTGGCTTTGACATCATCTCCTCCAAGAAGTGTTGCCTGATAGCTCCCATACCTTTGGTAAAAGTTCTGTATAAACATTAATATAGCTCTTACTAAAAGGTATTTGAACCATCTGTTCACTGATGTGTCTCACCTCACTAGATTTAATCTCTTGAAGACTGGGGCTGCCTTTATAAATCTTATATTACCTAGACTTTACATAGTGCTTGAAAGCTATTAATTGCTTAAAACTAAATTGTAGAATGCATAAGTAAGTGAGTGAACAAATATATAGTTAAATTAAAGAATGATCGAAAGGGGCAGACAGGAATAGGGAGATTCTGGAAGGCAAACGAGAAAAAAAAACTTTTAGTTTATTTTTAAGCTATAAATTTTTTTGCAGTTTCTTATTTTTAAAATTTTCAATTTACTTTAAGTTCTGGGATACATGTGCAGAATATATAGGTTTGTTACATAGGTATACATGTGCCATGGTGGTTTGCTGCACCTATCAACCCATCATCTGGGTTTTAAGCCCCATATGCATTAGCTATTTGTCCTAATGCTCTCCCTTTTCTTGCTTCTCCAAGACCCCCCGACTGGCCTCAATGTGTGTCTTTCCCCTCCCTGCATCCATGTATACTCAATGTTCAACTCTCACTTATGAGTGAGAACATGCAATGTTTGGTTTTCTGTTTCTGTGTAAGTTTGCTGAGGATGATGGCTTTCAGCCTCATCCATGTCCCTGCAAAGGACTTGATCTCATTCCTTTTTATGGCTGCATAGTATTCCACAGTATATATGTACCACATTTTCTTTATCCAGTCTATCATTGATGGACATTTGGGTTGGTTCCATGGCTTTGCTATTGTAAATAGTGTTGCAATAAACATAAGTGTTCATGTGTCTTTATGGTAGAATGATTTATATTACGTTTGGTATGTACCCAATGGGATTACTGGGTCAAATGGTATTTCTGGATCTAGATCCTTGAAGAGTGGCCACACTGTCTTCCACAATGGTTAAACTCATTTACATTCTCAACAACAGTATAAAAGTGTTCTATTTCTCCACAGCCTTGCTAGCATCTTTGGGTTTTGACTTTTTAATAATCACCATTCTGATTGTTGTGAGATGGTGTTTCATTGTGGTTTTGATTTGCATTTCTCTAATGATCAGTGATGATAAACCTTTTCATGTTTATTGACCACATAAATGTCTTCTTTTCAGAAGTGTCTGTTCCTATTATTTTCCCACTTTTTGATGGGGTTGTTTTGTTCTTTTAAATTTGTTTAAGTGCATTGTTATTCTGGATGTTAGACCTTTGTCTAACATCCATTACAAACATCCATTACATTTGTAACATCCATTACAAAAATTTTCTCCCATTCTGTAGGTTGTCTGTTCACTCTGACGATAGTATCTTTTGTTGTGCAGAAGCTCTTTAATTCAATTAGTTCCCATTTGTCAATTTTGGCTTTGGTTGCAATTGCTTTTGGCATTTTGTCATGAAGTCTTTGCCCATGCCTACGTTCTGAATGGTATTGCCTAGGTTTTCTTCTATAGTTTTTATGGTTCTGGGTTTTACATTTAAGTCTTTAATCCATCTTGAGTTAATTTTTGTATAAGGTGTAAGGAAGGGGTCCAGTTTCAGTTTTCTGCATATGGCTAGCCAATTTTCCCAGCACCATTTATTAAATAATGGGGAATACTTTCCCCAATTGCTTGTTTTTGTTTGGTTTGTCAAAGATAATATGGTTGTAGATGTGTGGGCTTATTTCTGAGGTCTCTGTTTTGTTCCGTTGGTCTATATGTCTGTTTTGGTACAAGTACCATGCTGTTTTGATTGCAGTAGCAATGTAGTATAGTTTGAAGTCAGATAGCGTGGATGCCTCCAGCTTTGTTCTTTTTGCTTAGGATTGTCTTGGCTATGTGGGCTCCTTTTTGGTTCCATGTGAAATTTAAAGTAGTTTTTTCTAATTCTGTGAAAAATGTCAATGGTAGTTTGATGGATTTGGCATTGAATCCTTAACTTACTTTGGGCAGTATGGCCATTTTCACAATACTAATTTTTCCTATCCATGCGGATGGAAGGTTTTTCCATTTGTTTGTATCCTCTCTTATTTCCTTGAGCAGTGGTTTGTAGTTCTCCTTGAAGAGGTCTATTGTATCCCTTGTTAGTGGTATTCCTAGGTATTTTGTTCTATTTGTAGCAATTTTGAAAGGGAGTTCATTCATGATTCAGCTCTCTGCTTATCTATTATTGGTGTATAGGAATGCTTGTAATTTTTGCACATTGATGTTCTATCCTGAGACTTTGCTGAAGTTGCTTATCAGCTTAAAGAGTTTTTTGGGCTGAGATGATGAGGTTTTCTAAATATAGAATCAAATCATCTTCAAACAGAGACAATTTGACTTCCTCTCTTCCCATTTGAATGTTCTTTATTTCTTTCTCTTGCCTGATTGCCCTGGCCAGAACTTTCAATACTATGTTGAATAAGAGTGGTGAGAGAGGGCATCCTTGTCTTGTGCCAGTTTTCAAAGAAAATGCTCCTAGCTTTTGCTATTCAGTATAATATTGGCTGTGAGTTTGTCACAAATAGCTCTTATCATTTTGAGGCATGTTCCATAAAAACCTAGTTTATTGAGCGTTTTTCACATGAAGGGATGTTGAGTTTTATCAGATGCCTTTTCTGCATCTATTGAAATGATCAGGTGGTTTTTGTCATTGGCTCTGTTTATGAGATGGATTATGTTTATTGATTTGCACATGTTGAATCAGCCTTGCATTCCATGGATGAAGCCAACTTGATTGTGGTGGATAAGCTTTTTGATGTGCTGCTGGATTCAGTTTGTCAGTATTTTACTAAGGAATTTCACATTGATGTTCATCGGGGATATTGGCCTGAAGTTTTCTCTCTCTGTGTGTGTGTGTGTGTGTGTGTGTGTGTGTGTGTGTGTTTCTCTCAGGTTTTGATATAAGTGTGATGCTGGCCTCATAAAATGAGTTAGGGAGGAGTTCCTCCTTTTCAATTGTTTGGAATAGTTTCAGAAGGAATGATACCAACTCCTCTTTGTGTCTCTGGTAAAATTTGGCTGTGAATTTGTCTGGTTCTGGTAGGCTATTAATTACTGGTTGGTAGGCTTTTAATTACTGCCTCAGTTTCAGAATTTGTTATTGGTCTATTCAGGGATTCAGCTTCTTTCTAATTTAGTCTTGGGAGGGTGTATGTGTCCAGGAATTTATTCATTTCTTCTAGAATTTCTATTCGACTTCTTTTTAGTTTAGTCTTGGGAGGGTGTATGTGTCCAGGAATTTATTCATTTCTTCTAGATTTTCTAGTTTATTTACATAGAGGTGTTTATAGTATTCTCTGATGGTAGTTTGTATTTCTGTGGGATCAGTGGTAATATCCCCTTTAACATTTTTTATTGTGTCTATTTGATTCTTCTATTTTTCTTCTTTGTTAGTCTAGTTAGCAGTCTATTTCATTAATTTTTCAAAAACCCAACTCCTTGATTCATTGATTTTTAAAAGAGTTTTTAATGTGCAGTTTTTTAATTTAGAATTTTTATGTGGCACATATACACAATGGAATACTATGCAGCCATAAAGAAGGATGAGTTCATGTCCCTTGCAAGGACATGGATGAAACTGGAAACCATTATTCTCAGCAAACAAACACAAGAACAGAAATTCTAAAATCCCACTCTCTCACTCATAAGTAGGTGTTGAACAATGAGAACACATGGACACAGTGGGAGGGGAACATCACACACTGGGACCTGTCAGGGCATGGGGGGTTAGGGGAGGGATAGAAGGGAGGTGGGGGACTATGGGAGGGATTGTATTAGGAGAAATACCTAATGTAGATGACAGGGTGATGGATGCAGCAAACCACCATGGCACATGTATACCTATGTAACCCACCTGCATGTTCTGCACATGTACTCCAGAACTTAAAGTATAATAACAATTAAAAAAATAAATAAAATAAACAAAGAAAAATATATTTTTGATTCTTTCATGCCAATTTTAAAATCTTGACACTTGTCTCAAGCTAGCAATAAATATCTAGGTTATATATAAATATAAAACATATACACACATATATGTATACACATACATAAATATTAACATGAATCAAGAAACATATAAACATATACTTATATACACACATAGATTTATGTAAATGTATATGTATATTTATCAGAGACTTACTTGGTAAGCATATTAATAATTGAATTGATTTTACTGATGTTTTCTGAAGTAATTAGTTTTTTGATTCATGTTAATATTTCAAGACTTCTGCTGTTTCTTATCTCAGGGGGAACTATAATACTCAAATTTCTAGACAGAAAATTCTTTCCAAATAGAAAATACATGACTTTATAT